TTTCAACATTCCCAGAGCTTCTTCTCTGGCTGGCAACATCTCAACGGCTATAGCTGGTGTTAAATTGTCAGTGAGATTTATAGCTAGTAATTTTATAGTTTTACCAAATCACTGAGACATCTACGTACAGGATCAGTGGGAAAAGGGCTTGGGAACAAGTCATCGCATAATCATTTCCCAATATTCCATACAGCCGCTTGTGAAACACTATCCACGATTAGAAATACCCGGATTGCTAGTGTCCTCTTGTGAATTCTGAATCATAAAGATTATTGTGCCTAACTCTAGTGCTTTGTCCTTCAGCTCTTTTGACAAGTAAAAAAACAGCCATAAACCTGGATCCATGAACTAGAATTTTACCGGTATTGAATTTCTCTCTAGGCTACAGCTCAACAAGGTAGAAAATAAACACAATTAAACAGACAAAAAAATTAATGTTTGACTATCTTGCCGATTTTCTTACTTATGAAATTGACTTATCTAGTTGTTAACTTCTTTTGTTGTGCTTTATTGACGAGTATGTTTGGATTAAGTACCTTATATTTACATTGGTATGTTATTGTTTGGTGCATATGTGTAGAGAAAATAGGGCTACATTTCACTTACATTTTAAATTCAAGCCTATTACCTAATAAACTATTTCTGGGTAATACAGTAGAAGGAAAGAATGTGTTGCATTCAGTGGCGACTGGTCGCAGAAAGTATTAAAATAATAATTACAAAAACATGCAAAAGAAATACATCTTAAAATATATTTTACGATCATGTTTAATCATCTGATTTGTCTGTACATTGCTGTTTTAGTCTGTGTTCTTCTAATTAGTGTTTACAGTGTGCCTATTGAGCCGTTTTGAGCGACGTGGGTCAAGCCCCGATCAAGCCCCTCTCTCTTACTGTCAAAGTGAATGGGTGCTGTAAAAACTACACTGCGCATGCTCAGAGTCTTTTTCTATTCAATGTGTGCGGCAAACAAATAATCACCATAGGGGCACTGTGCTGACATACCTACCAAACGTCATCTCATAATTCAGAGCTGATTGGCTGTAAGTACGTGTACCGCGAAAAGTGTGGTGTGTGAAGAGGAGACGAGAGAGGTGCAGTGACGCGTACTAAAACCAGGAAGTAAGCTGCGCATGGCTTCCCTCAACAAAAAAGCAATGAGATTTCTCCATAGGATTTTAGAAAATAGCTCGAAATAAGATCTGTGGGAAACAAACCTGTTAGATAAATGAACGTTTTGTTCAGCCGGATAATATCCACATTTCTACCCTACTTTTATAATTTTCTAATCATAAATCTATCGATTAGATTTATGATTCGACTTTTGAAAGAAGATAAGGAGGACTTTTACAAAAAAGTAATAGAGATTTTTGTCCAGAAGGATAGACAAATGGACTTCATCTTCAAGTCAAGGTAAGACCACCATTTTATTGAAAATGGGATCTTACTAAGAGAGAACAATTCAATATTTAAATGATAAAATTACATTTTTTGGGTATCCTTTTGTTGAACTGTCTGTTTAAAATTAATCAAAGCATCAGACTAAAAAAGCTTTTGAAAATAATAGAATATTTTGATTTAGGTCAAAATATAATATTTGTAAACCTGAAGGGTCAGTGCCAGTGCCTCACCAGCCACGAACTTCACTGCACGTCACTGCAGAAGCTTATATAGAAATATCTACGTTTTTTGTACCCCACCACTTTTGTACATATAAAAACGCCACTGGCTGCATTACATGTCGATTTAAGTGGTGCTCATAAAATGTGTGCTCCTAAAATGTTCAGTAGGAATCCCCATGCCCGGGTTTTTCCTACAGGATAAAAGTGGAGCCCTGCTGATAGCAGCCACATGACGGTTTCATTGGCTGAGCTTTAACAGCTGCCTGCAGTGCCACTGTGGCTGCTACATGGGCCATTTCTTTACAGCAGACATTTGACTTGTAAAAGGGAAAGCTCTGATGTAACTCATATCTTTAACGTTCAGGCATGGTCAGCAACCCTTATCAACATGGTCAAACAATCATTGGATATACAATGAAAAGAGCTCCAACCACCTTACATTACCTTAATAGTTGTCTATTTTAAGTGTGACATGTCTACATGCTTTTTAATGTTCAAAAAGCTCTTTATTTTCCTCATACTGCCTGTGCTGCAGCACCTCTTTTCACCCTCTGTCTGAAACCAGAGCCCAGTCTGCTCTGATTGGTTAGCTGGCCGGATCTGTTGTGATTGGTCAACCGCTAATGGCGCTTTTCCACTGCAGCACGTAACACAGTTTAAGCGGGCCGGGCCAAACCCGCTTTTATTTGCTTTTCCACTAGGGGTAGTTCCGGCTCAGGGCTACTTTTTCACCTTTTTTCTGGCCCTCCAAAATCGAGGTTCTTACCGGGCCAAGAACCGGGCTGAATATGCTAAACTAGTGACGTAAACACTCTCGACTGCTGAATGGTCAGGATGAATCGCTGGCAAGGGGGCTACAACTACAACAAAATGAATATATTTTACCGTGATTTAATTGTAATACACGTTTCAAAATGATGCCGAAGTAACAACATACTGATAACGGTCTGCAGACAAGACGGCAGGCGAAAAACCTTTTAAAATGCGTGTTTTCTGAATGGAGATCGGATCGATCAGGCTAAGCTAACGTTGTATCTGCTCCGTCCACACTCATAACAACATGATACAGACACAGATACAACAGCGACTGTATTCTCCATGACACAGACAGTCTGTGGTTTGTACTTATTTAACTTTTGTCTAGTTTCTGAACAGCTATGAGGAGCTGATGTTTTGGTTTTGTGGTTCGCATTGAAGATGATGTCACGGCTCCGCCTACACTGCGTTACTATAGTTACTGCCCCAGTACTAAACTGTAATGGAAACGCAGCATAAAGTGAGCCTGGCCTACCAAGGCCTATCCATACCGTACTAACCCGTGCTTGGTCCTGCAGTGGAAAAGCGCCATTAGATAGGTCCTGGCCCTTAACCTATCACGTACCTCTGGAGGGAACACAGGGATTTTAGCCTTTGCAGGAAAAAACCCAAAAAGCATAATAGAGCCTCTATAAACTCTATTGGGTTTCTGATGTCTTTCTGACAACACCTTCTGGATTTTTGAAGGGTGCAAGTCAGGGGGTCTCGGTTAGTTTTCCTGGCTTGTAAAACCTTTTAACACTTTAACGGTGCATAAGCTTGAAATGTTGCTTTAATTTCTCATCCACCCTTTCATTGACACGGTTGACACCAACGCAATTTTTACCAATGGTTCACCTGGTGTGGTGATTTGCCTCCAATTTCTTTCTTTGGTGTTGAAAGTTTTATATTATGACACCGTTCACAAATTCATTTTGCAGGACAAAGACAATGTGGAGGAATGGCTCATTGTGGCAATTATACTGAACACTAAATCTTCATAAGCCCAAGTCCCTCAAAAACAAACGTCTGGCTTCTGAGGACATGTGGTCGCACTGTCCATGGTACATGATGTTCAGCTTCTGCAGACCATAACATTACTCTGAGAAAGTGCCAGGTTTGTAAGTTAGAAAGGAAATGTACTGAGAGAATATGAAGGCATTTTATGATTGTTTCTTTATATTAAACATTTTAAATTGATAACTACACTTGCTTAATATCTACATGTTTTAATAGAACACACTCAACTCAACTTTGGTTTACTTAAATGTTTGTTGTTTTACATTGTTTGCATTGGCACCACATTCTTTTATTCCAGATAGCTCAAACTTGAGAGTTTTTCTTAAGGCCCGGAAACACCAAGCTGACACCAAAGAACTGACACAGACGGACCCCCGACTGTTGTGTCGCCTCGCGTCTCTGCGTCTTGGCCATGTGTCGCACTGGAACACACCGCAAAGACTTCAGCCGACGGCCAAGAAGCACGTACGAACTGCGCATGCGTGAGTGGCAATAACTCTCCTTACCAGCAGGCGGCGGTAGTGTGTATTCGTCATTCAAAAGAGGCAACAACCGGAAGACAGACTGCGTGATAACCGAGAGAAGAAGAACAGACTGCGTGATATAAACAAACAACAAATAGCGTGTGCGTTCCATTTTCACTCTACAGCGAGAAGCTCATGGGGCTTTCCCGAACCTGTGTCGAGAGCTGGAGTTAAATGAAATCTCAGATTTGCCTTCTTAATAGTTTGTTTGGGTCCCTCACTTCCGTTTCGCTTCTCATGCACTGATTCGCTAGCTGAACAGCCAATCAGAGTGATTTCTTTTGCCGACTGCCTTTGGCCGACTGCCCACCGATTCGACATGTTGAATCGGTGGATTTTCGGACGAAAAGGTGTCGGCACGGCTGACGGTGTGCGGGACACACCAATCTGAGTAGGGCGTGTCGACGCTCATCGTCGGCCTGACGCCCATCGACGGCCAAGATCGGTTTGGTGTGTCCGGGCCTTTAAAGAGCAAATTGCGTGCTTGGCATAAGACAACAGTTAAAATGACTTTCAAAACTTGGAAATCTATGTCTCCGTGTGCCTTTATCTCACATCTAAGCTTCTCTTTTGAGCCAATTATATATTGTCTCTAATGTTTTGGTTTTCATTAACTGGTATATGTCTTTCATGGTTTAACTTTATTTACATTTTTGTTTTTTTCTTATCATTTACACACTCAAGATTTCGAACATTTTGCCATGTAAATAAAAAAAAGTACTTTTTTGATACTTTTGGTGTATTCAAATATGCTTTTTAATAATAAACACATTTTCTCAAATGTGATGATATATTTTGATTTAACATGCAAAACAAATATGTGTTTTTAATCCTGTGAGTATTTCATTTTAAGATCATCTGATAAACTTAGAAAGTGAAGAGTTCTTCATTTACACTGGCGTTTTTTAATCCTAAGAAATAAGAATATTTAGATAAATTGACTGCATAAATGAAATGGAATCAATAAACTGAATAATGTAACTGAGCAGCAGCAACAAAAGGAAATGAGTTTCAGATTGTAACAGTGAGGGTGTGTTACCTTCATGTTGGAGAACCACAGGTCGTTCTCATGCAGCGTGGCCATGTAGATACAGCACAGCAGGCCCAGACCCACAGACACAGACCAGCCCACCGATGTCCAGATGATCGCCCCCCATGACCAATCACCTGCAGGAGCAGTGACAGGTCAGCGCTTCAATTACCCCTTTTTGCATGAAAGAATACTTAAACGATCAATCGATAAGAGTTATTTTTTGTCGCAAGTAAAAATATATTACATTAGCTTTATACAATTCAGAAGAAGTTAAAAAAGAATAGCCTAAATGTGTGTGATTGGTTGAAGAGATATGGTTCAAAGATACAGCTTAACCTGAACCTGAACAGCTGTAGAGCTGGAATTTCACAGTTTTTTCCCCATTTCCCCAGAGACCCAGAAACAAATACATTTATTTTGTGTAAATTGGATTTGTGTCAAACAGCAAGGCTCTCATGGCTCCTTTTCTAAATGTCTCTCAAATCAAATGCCACAATCGTGATCCCATAGTCATCTGGGAATTGAGAAATACTAAGTAAGAAACCTGGAGGGGGAGATAACGGAGTAACTTTGTGCAGGCTTTGTCAAAGGAGAAGGCCCATTTTCACAGACCTTCAACCCTGTGGACTATTAGATTTTCGTTGCAGCTCTAATTTGTAAAACGTGTTGTTCGACTGCATCAGAAATGAATCGTGTTAGCACCTAAAATAAATATGGGGACAACGTTGTTCAAATATGGGGATGACGGCACACTGTTTCCCGGAAGGCTATTAAAAGTGTTGCCCTTGGGAGTATAAATGAATAGTGACAGAAAGAGTGAAGCACGTTGATGATGGCTGCTTTTTGTTAAAGTGCTGCAGCAAGTCAAGGTTACTCTTACTATGATATAAATGGCATTTCAATGGAAATGCAGTGAATGCGGTGAAATGCAGGAAAAACGTTAGTTAATTATGCTTGATGTTTTTCAACAGATGCAACCCAAGACTCTTTATAAGCACATAAGTGGGGTAGCCAGCAGAGTGAGTTGCATTTCATCCCAACCTGACCATGAACCTCACCTCCCATTGGCTCACTCACCGTGTAATATCTTCTCTGGATGATGATCGGAGCAACAGTTGGACTGCTGGGACTGAAACTCTGCACCGAGAGGGGGCTCCTTCCCCCTGCTCCCCTTCCTCTGACGCAGGGCTGTCATGATGAACAACTGCAAGCAGACAAGAGGGGGAGTGTGTGTATGTACACGCGCAGATATGATGAAAGCATGGACAGATACACACAGGCGCGTGCACTCAACACAAACAGCACGTGCAATGTGAGCCAAAGCAAACACCGAGCTGCACCACTGTTTAGGTTTCCTTTTCCATTCAGACTGGTACGTGGGGTGGACAGGCCTGCTTACAGCGGCATTTCCTGCTCACGCCGCGGCCAGAATAACGTGAAACATCAGGTCCCATCTATCGACACCGACAGTTAACCGGCAAACTACCGGAATTAAGCTGTGGTAGCCTAAGCTAAAGCAAATGTTCACTAATGAGGCACAAGTACGTAGTGTGCCACAAAATAAACTACGAGAAGGGTTAGACTCCTATTGTGAAGCATACTTCTAAAGCCTTGTTATAACAATTGTGTATTTTGCATAACGGCGCGCGCCCCGCTATGGACGCCAGCTTCTGTTTGACAGCAACAAAGACGGATAGGATGTGTGCCCGCGGTACATTTATAAGCCTCACCCTCCTGTACAGCGGCGGCAGGTAGGATGGTCCGGCAGCTCTCCTCTACCTCCCTCTCTCCCCCCCTGTTTCACTGTATCTCTGTATCTCCCTCACTCTCTCATCTTCCTCTCCTCTTTTCCTCCCTCCCGTTAGAATTCATCGGTCAGCTTCATACCGCACCGGGGTTTAAGCACGCGACAATACCGGAACACAACAGAGCCTTCCTTCAAAATAAAAGCTATCACTTTTTTTTATAGGGATGAGTTTTGGTTTTAAAGGGCCCATGTCATGGCCATTTCCACTGATCATAATTACATTGTTGAGGTATACTAAAATAGATTTATACCGTGCAATTTTCCAAACTCACATTGGTTTCGCATACAGCATCTCTGTAAAGTATGTGTATTCAGCAGTATTCACTCTCTCCACTAAACGACTCGTTGGAGCTCTTGCCCCCCCCCTCCCTGTGAGCCTAGTGTGCTCCGATTGGTCAGCTCGGCCACTCTGTTCTGATTAGTCAACCACCAGAGAGGCTCCGCCCATGTCTAACAGTGCTTTTTTCGGCTCGCTCTCGGAATATCAGTCTTATAATGGCGTCGGTACAGTCTTTCCGTTGTGGCCTACGAGCCGGTCATAACAAAGAGTAAGTTATTTTTACCTGTAATAAACTACTACTGTTTGATGAGAAATCAAATCATGGTTTGCTATATATGAATGATATGTTATAGGAGCAAATAAGTCAGGGAAGAAAGGATAGGCCTACTAAGTATTTCCATTCAACTTTATTTTTAGAAATGTACAAAATGAACATAAATATACATATATACACGGTATATCATCAATTCCTCCCCGTTGTCGGCATCTTGCCTATCGCAGCCGGGGTAGTCCCGTCATGTATTGTCCGGCAGGATCTGGCTGGACGAAATCAAATGCAAATCACAAAATATTAGAGAAACTTAGTTGTTTTAGATTCGTTAGTAGTAGTTGTGGTAGGAGTGTGGATCTATCTAATCCATCTATCTAATGAACACAGTAAGCTTGCCAGCTAATATGCTAACCTAGCTTTGTTTACTTTGGTAGCTAACACGATATGAACGCTAGCTCGGAGGAACGGCAACTATAATGTAGTGTAATAAAACTACTATGAACAAAAGCTAGTGGTTCATATTAGGCTAGCAATAACGTGTTTATAATTGCAATCTTATACGGGTAGTCTGCTACGTTCGGTCATTCATTGTAACTGGCATGAATACATTGTTTTGCGCTAGCATGTATAGCTAGCCTCGTTAGCTATACATGCAGTATGTACATGTACTGTCACAATGTACGGTAAATCACCCGGAGTATACTGTATGAGTATTCCGTGTGTGACTGCAGACATTCTCCTGCCATGACAAACATGTAAGGCCATCTGCTGACATTGTAGTTGATATATTTAAACGCTAGCAACGTCGTTAGCCCAGTAAGCTGGGCTTGTTTAGTGTAATAAAACCACTATGAACAAAAGCTAGCGATTCATATTAGGCTAGCAAGAACGTGTTTACAATTGCAATCTTATACGGGTAGTCTGCTACATTCATTGTAGCTGGCATAACAAAAAAATGTTGGTTAGCTCGGTAGCATACACGCTACGCCAGCTATAATGTAATTACGTTACGACTGACCGTACGGCAAATCACCCGGAGTATACTGTCTATGAGTATTTCGTGTGTGAATGCAGACATTCTCCTGCTATGAGATACATGTATGCAAGGCCATCTGCTGATATTAGAGTTGATATATGGAAATGCTAGCAACTTAGTAAGCACAGTTAGCACTGTGTCAATGGCTTAGCAGTCCGACACAGTTTACACATTTAAACAGTCTTGTTTGATAAATACACAAATAACAATGCAAACTTACAGGTTGTGTACCCGAATCTTCCCCTGCTTCCAAACTAGGAATAGCATCGTCCTTCAGTTTCAAATGCTGTGCATATCCGGCCTCAAACTGGGCAATGTTTTGGAAGCTTTCGTCTGTGAAATGCCGCGCACACCAGAGTTCCCGTTAGAATATTTTTTTGCCGGTCAACATGTCCGTTAAAGTTTAAATCTTCCGGACAAAATGAGAAAAGTGCCAGTCAAAGGTCTTCGTTATTTATTGAGCTTTTAAACAAATTGATATGATTCGATATTAAACAAACTAATTCTAGTAGATTAACTACATTATTCAAAAGTGTACAGTAATTTATAACACGGGAATAATAAACGGAGCGCTCTCTCTCCCTCTCCTGACAGCCCGTCAGTATCATGCAGCTCGCGGATCCAATAATGAGTAACCCGACAGTAAAACTAAACATATCTATAACTAGTTTAGGTAGTTTGAGAGGTAATTAAAATAGCTACGTGATATTCTAACCTGAAGTGTGTGTTGTGTTCCGCTCACCGCTGCAGATGATCATGCAGAGCTGCGTGTCGACTCGTCAGCAGCAGCTGATCTCTTGCTCCGGTCAGATTAGACTTCACTCGCGTTTATGTCCATATCGATCAGATCTAGCTAGTTCTAGCTAATGATATGACTATCTGCTTATTAAAAGACACCTAAACAATAAGCGTCGCTATGCAACCGGGTGAGGCCGCAAAGTATAGCGCAGCATTATGCATTTGTTTACTTGCCCACCGGAACCCCGAGGCATTACCAACAGATCAACGCACAATCAACCCATACAGGACACTCTTTCTCCACATTAAATGTTAGACATTAGAATTTACTATTCTTGTCTGTCACATACTATTCTTGTCTGTCACATAAGTGGCGCAACTGATGCGGTATTGTGCTAAAGGGAAATTATTTTTGACCGGACATTTTGACCGGAGAGATTTAGATTTGCCGGTCTTCAGCATATTTTACCGGTCATAGTCCGGTAATTACCGGCTAACGGGAACTCTGGCGCACACAGTAACGTTCTTCGAACCTCTGAAGGAACAGTGTTAAAAAGAAATTTCAACCACTGACTTCGTCGTGGTTCTTCCGTCGGTAGGACAAACAGCTCAGATTTCTCCTCACATTTCAGGAAACAGGTCCTTGGCATTGGCATGACTGGATCGATTGTGAACTGAACCAGAGCTTCCAACAGTAAATGTTAGGCTGGCAGAGGGTGCGGCCAGCGCCGCTGGGTGTGACCATAGCTCTTCCGGATTGGTCCATTTTGTTCCGGGTACCGCATGACATCATGCCGTACCCAGAACTAAATGGAAGACTCAAATGGGCAGTGACGTATCTCCAACGAGGCGTTTTGGGGAGGTATTTTCTGTGTTAGAGTTTTACTCGCTACAGGGTGTACTTTGAGGGTTTTGACTCTGCACACCGTTTACATGCATAAAAACCTTCATAACACACAAGGGGATGGGTAATAACCGGAAAAGCATGACATGGGAGCTTTAAGCTTTATATACAGTCTATGGTTTTAAGTAAGTCAGATATGCAAACGTCTCTGGCCAGGATTTATAAAGTAGAATGGATGGGTAAGGAGTGGAGTTTTACTTAGCTTGAACATTTGGTAATGTTGTTTTTGTTTGTATATTGTTGTTTATGGTTCAAAAGCACAATTGGGCAGATATATGATTGTGTTTGTTGTTTTGGCAATGTGTCCCCCTGAGTTACTGTATTTATTTCAGTTTGTTGTTGAAGTAATAAATCATTTTCCTAAACTTATATTAAAGGTCCCCTATTATACTGTTTCTCATCAATATATTATAGCAGGTCTCAGATAACATGTCTCTGAAGTGTTTGGCTGGAAATACCAAACAGATCATGCATCAGCGGCGCCGGATTCATTTCAGAAGTGGGGGGGGGGGGCAAAAAGTGCATGTGTAGCCTATGTGACATACTTGCCAACCCTCCCGATTTTCCCGGGAGACTCCCGATTTCATTGCCCTCTCCCGGTTTCCTCCCGTTTTTGACAGTCTCAGCGGTCGCAGAGCTGCTGCTCGACGGCCGAAATCGGTTTGGTGTGTCTGGGCCTTTAGATTAAAATAAGGAGCCACTCCCCACGCCCCTCTGAGAGATATTTGGTTAAAAAGAACACAATAGGCGCGTTCACACCAAGTACTTTTCCCACAGTAGTTCATGAGAACTTTAGTTCATGAGAGTTCTTTTAGTTCTGACGAACTAAAGCAGATCGCGTTCACACCAAAATTAGTTCCTGGGGGTGGAATAGGCAAATGAGCCGCTGACGTCACTTCTTCTTCTTCTGCTTTGGTTTTCCTGGCAGGCCGCAAACAACTTCACGGCGAGTACAGTAGGTGGCGGTATGCACCTTAAAGTTGCAATCCGCCAAAAAACCGAGAGAAGAAGAAAAAAAACTTCCGCTTCCGCTGTATGCTTCTGTTTACCTTCCGACCTCAGTCAGACACGCTATGGAGTTGACTGAAGTTGTGGTTTTGGTGCTGAGTTATTTAAGCCAATAACTCAGCCACAAATACAGATCGCGGTTAAGAAGCCTTAATAAAAGGACTGGACGGCGACAAGCACACGCTATGGACATGTTTCGTCGTAGGACAGCTGAGGATGATGACCGTTATCACGCCCAAAGAACAGCAATGGTACGTTCAGTAAATCACATTAATACTATCTAATGTAGGATTTATGGAGTTATGTAGGGCTAATTTGTGTCTTTGTATGTGTTCCAGATATGCGGTGCTTGATGAAGCGAAACGACTGCAACATGGACAATATCAAAATCCAGGTGGCAGCATGTTGCGTATTGCATAACCTGTGTGAGCGTCGTGGTGATGAGTACAGGGAGGAATGGACTGCCTTACCGGCGACCCAGCTTGATGACAACCATTCATATTTTTTTGTTTATTACAAATTAAAGTAAAATATATACAAGTGTCTTGATTAAATGATTGTAGAATAAGGATTTTGGACGTTTGCCCTGCAGCCATGAATTGCATTAAAAGCAGCAAGAAACTTTGAATTGATTTCATTTTATACACATT